TAAATTTAAGGCCTGGTTGGGCTATGATAACATGAACAACTTAGTGAGATCCTGTCAATCAAATAAAATAAAACCTGGCATGGTGGCACACGCCTTTAATTCCAGCACTCATGAGGCAGAGGCAGGTGGATCTCTGAGTTCCAGGCCAGCCAGGGCTGTTACACAGAGGAACTCTGTCTTGAAAAACCAAAAATAAAGTAAAATAAAAAGGGAGCTAGAGACATAGCCCATGGAAAAGAACTTGCCCTGGATTCAAGTCAGAATATAACAACAACGGTAAAGGAGGTAAAGGACAGTGGCAGACCACAGCTAAGGACTGAGGGGCCTAAAGGAAAAGGAAATGGATTTTCTGAGTCTCCACAAAGGGACATGTAGGAATGCTGCTTATTTCACTGAAACCTGCCAAGACTTGCAAGCTGGAGATGTACAGCTAATAATGTAGATATTTCAACACTATGAGGTTTTTGCTCTGGTCTTTTGTGTCATCTCTTTGTGTTCTATTTTATTTCTGCAATGTGTTTTTATCTCCAGTATTTCCTGAGCTCTGTCAGCTCTCATGTACTGAGAGCTTGCCTCTGTGGCTTACCTACTTCCTTTAGATCTAATTTTAATGTGATGCTGTTCGGTCTTTGCTTCTTAAAACCCCTTCAGCACATTTTTAAATGTTAGATTGAACTAGGCATGGTGGCACGGACACCTATGGACCTAGCTACTGGGGAGACTGACCAGATCACCAAGTGCACAAGGTTGAGACCAACCTGGGCAGCATGGTAAAACAGTCCTAAAAAAGATTACCATTTGCTCTGCTTCACTGGTCAGTTTCTGTGATGTTCTCAGAGTCTGTGGGTTTGTTATAACCCTGTTACCTTGTGATTTTTTTTTTTTTTTTGAGATCATTTTGGAAGTTGTAGTCATGTTTAACTGAAGTTAATTTTCCTACTTTTTTTTTTTTCAAGCTTCTTGGGCAGGGGTGGTGGGTGAGTGTGGGCCAGGACTGTTTCTTAGCTTCATAATTCCCTCTCCTCTCCTGACTGCAGTGCTTCCTTTGTCACTGTGAATTCGGGCTCATCTGGCAACCTCCCTCCTCAGCAACAGACCCTTTTCTTTACCTGCCAGGCCTTGCTTGCTGAGATGGTTCTGTCCAGTGCAATCCATCTCAGCACCACTGTTCCATTCTGCGGATCCCTCTGCTAACTGCCATGACTGACTGGTTACTGAGCCTCACCCATCTGCCACCATCAGAGGCTCTTAGGACCATCAAGTTTGTTACCTTCTCCCTGCTGCTCAAACACAATTGTTTCCACATGATCTTGCTGATGGACTTAACAGAAACCACTCCAACGCCAGGATTCAGGGATAATCTTTCACAGGTTTTGGAGAAGGTGGTAGCTCACTTTCTTGCTTTGCTTGCCTGGTTGCTACATGATGAGTTAGGAGATTAAAAAGTCACCTGCTGCTGCTTCCATCTTGCCTCTGAGCATTTTCTAAACTTTTAAAGTGATGCATAATTTTCTTTTTACATTGTAATACTCAGGACAAGACAGTCTATGTTACAGTAATGATTAAATTTGAAATTTCAGTGACCAGTCTTTTCTGTTTATTCCTGTGACAGTCTGATGCCATCAATCAACTTTCTGGGTGGCCTTCCTCCAGCCCAAATGCCTGTGCCCAGGCTGCTTCCACTCAGCAAAGTTCCTGTTTACAACCAAATGAAGACAAAATCATGCTCAATCATGGCTGGCTCTGGAATTTATGTATCGCTCTATATCTCACTGGCCAGAACTGAATTACATGTCCCACACTAATGAGAAGAGGATGTAAAGGTAAAATAGTACTAATAATCTCTGCCCACATCTGGACAGCTGCTCACACAACCTAGGGAAGGCAGCTGGCTATATAAAACCTTCAAGTTGCTTGTCTGTCACATTGTGGTGATATATTATTTATGATTTATTAAAGCTTGCCTGAGGATTCAGAAAGCAAAGTCAGCCACAAGCTATAGGCAGTGGTGATACACACCTTTAATCCTAGCCAAAAGCTAGGATTTAAGCTTTTACATACCTTTAATCCTAGGACTCACGATTAAGAGGTAGATGGATCTCTGTGAGTTGATGCCACCCATATATACACAAGATCGGTCCAGTTCTAAAGAGAAACGGCTCACACAAAGACAATCTCAGCACCTGGGATCACACGCCTTTAATCCCAGCACTGGAGAGGTATAAAAGATAGGAGCAGGGTCTTCAGTAGTCAGTGTCAGGCATTCATTCTCCAGCCACACTGAGGATAGGAGGACACTGATGTCTCAGGATTCTCCAGCCACACTGAAGAGAGGCAGCAGTTTGAGGTTTGTAGACCCAGGATCGCCTTTCAGTCTGAGGTAAAATAAGAGCTAGTGGCTGGCTGCTTTGCTTTTCTGATATTCAGCTTGAAGTTTGAACTCCAATATCAGTCTCTGGGTCTTTTAATTTTTGTGTTACATCACATGTAGGTATGGATTCTGAAGATGTAAACTCATCAAAGCATGCTTTGCCAGTAAAGTTTTATTTACTAACATAGTACTCTAACTTAAAAAGAATCATATCAATAATTTTTATTAACATGTTTCAAATTTAAAACTTCCAGTTATACACACACCTACCTCTACATTTTGGCAAAATAAGGAGTTAAATCCTATAACTAATATGAAAAGTAATGATTTTCAGGATGTAGTTCAGTGGTCCAGTTTAGCATGTTTAAGGCACTGGGTTCCACCTTCAGTACCACAAGATCCAAAGTAATTATAAAAAAAAGAAAGCAAAAAAGCACTATTGTGTTTTAATGACAATGCTCCCCCACAGGTTCAATGTGTTTCAATGCTTTATCCCTAACTAGGGGTGGGTCTTGAGGATGGTCACTTGGACAGCCCCCTTCCTGTCCAGTCTCTACCTCCTTACTATGGGTACAGTTGTGACCAAGTGCCACACTTTCTTGCTTCTATGCCTTCCCCACAATGATGAACTAAATATCCTGGAACAGCAAGTCAAAACAAGCCTTTTCACCCTTAACTACTTCCTGTCAGGAGTTTGACCAGAGCAACACAAAGGTAACTGATATATATGCCACAGTTTATAAACATAAGTATAAGCATTCTAGAAATTTAATATACAGGAGCAATAGCCTCAAGACAATGATTTTTATTCCTCTTGCTTATCGTATTTGACAACATAAATATAGTCATTAAAAAAATCCCACAATATTTAAATAAGAATTAAGTTCATGAATGTTTACAAAACACAGCCTAAGTACTTTCACTTGTAATCATTAAATATCTCAACATTTCTAACATGGTCAGACATTTAAAAATATTCTTGAACTATTTTAATTTTAGACTATAGAACAGTAACAATTTACTAAGTTCTTTGTAATAAAAATTAATATAGCAATTCTCAAAATACTGGAAAAAAATCATTTTGTGAAAGCTATACCACAGCAAAGGCAACTATGCCCTCTCTTTCAGAAGACATCTTAGAAAGGCACATTTTAATGACTACTAGTTACCAACAGGTGGGGTATAATTTGATATTCCAGTCAAGTTTCCATTATCTCAAACCTGAGCTAATGGAAGATCAAAAGAGGTAGGAGGACACAGGTTTCCAACTGACCACTCGGGCGGTGGTGTGCTCACTCACTATGTCACTGAAACTAAGGTAAAGATGTGACGAGGAGACTTTGAGTCTGCCTCACCCTAACTTAACCACCTGGATACACTTTTCATACAAGAATAGCTCATTAAAAAAATCCTAAGACCACAAACTTACAAACAACAGGTTTTGAGCCTGCAGTAAGACACCAACTCTTTCTTCTCTACAGTCACATTTTCCTCTACAGTCACATTTTCCTTGTGGGCTCATTTCCATTTCCATGCCTCGGTGACTAAACAGTGCTACAGATTCCAAAGAGTACACAGATGCTCAAGATGCAACAAAGAAAAGTTTAAATCCAGTGTGGATGGTCTGAGTTATGTTCCCTTCCCATTCAGAGTGGGTCTACTGTTCCCAAGGCCCTGTTTCTGACCCTGGACCCCATCTGAAATTCAGTATACACTTGGGGTATGGTTTACTTTGCCGAGATGTTCAATACTAACTGAAGTACTAAACTGGTTAGAATTAGTATTTTGAACTAATTTTCAATTATTTGATCCCATGTGAGAAACAAAAGGGGATTTTTAAGGCAATGTTGTAATTTTAAAATACTGGAGATTACCTTAATTTCACATTATTCCATTTAACTCTCAGTTATTTCCTTTTTTTAAAAAAGGAGGGGAGATGTTTTTAGATTTTTCTCCCTCACTAAAACAGAATAGTTCACCAACAAATACACCAAAGTACAAAAATAATATGGTCATCTAACTGTCACTTAAGCAAAATTTAACTTTCAGGTCCCCAGTGACGACCACCTTTGGGCACTTATTCCAGTTTTACAGTAGCAGCTTTTAAAATGAAGCTTTATTCTTACTGTTTTTTTGTTTGTTTGTTTGTTTTTGTTTTTGTTTTTTTTTTTCCTGTTAAGAGTCTACACGAGTAGTTTCTGGCTTGGCCAACCTCAAAGGTCTTTTGGAATGAATGCAAGATTTTTCTCATATTTAAAAAGTACATAAAATGTTACAGTATTCAAAGTCAACTTTTCTCTTCTAGTTGGAATTCTATAAAACAACTATAGTCATGTTAACACGTGTAAACCATGAAATTATTTTTAAAGTAATAACAGCATAAAATACAATTTTTCTATAAAAATACAATATAGGCAATACATCACTTCTTCCCTGAAATAGAAATTTATAATATTTGGACAAAAAATTGTAAACTTTTGATTACATTCAAAATATAGTATTATTTTGTATCTATTTAAAGACTTGAATTATTTGAGCTTTTGGCAACTGTTGCTCTCAGCAGCAGATTTACATCAGTGTAATATTTTATCAGCATAGTAACACAATACAGCTGTTCCCCTTACATCTGCTACCAGGAGGAAAAGAATGGCTTCCTGCAGTGGACCGTCTGGGTGAAGGAGCTGCCTAGGTGTACAACCCGCCCCTGGCCGCCGCTTTTACTGCACTCCACAATCACACATGGCATCTGCACCAGCTGCACAGGACTCTTCCCATCTCTCAGTGCCTGAGTGAGATTTAAGATCTGTGGAAAGAGGAGAGACTCTCACCAATCTGGAGTAAGTGCTGTAAGTATGTAACATATGTATATAAATACACATGGATGCACAAGACTAGAATCTAAACAGCTTTTACCAACTGGCAAACTACTGCAGAACGCGCCAATGTCCGGCAGCAGTGAAATCAGAAGACTAGAGAAATCAAGAGATTTTATACATTCCACTGACAGAGAACTTAAATACTGTTTTAAATGTTTGCCTTACTATTTACTTATTCAACAAGTAAAGTTATTGCCTTTCTGCCATTTCTAAGGCTTTTTTCCAGACATGACTACTATAATAAACACACAGAAAAAAAAAAAAAAAACAAAAAAAAAAAAAAAAAAAAAAAAAAAAAAAGCTAAAATCAGAGAGCTACACATGGTCAAGGTACATTATGCTTTTTGGCTACCAAAAAAGCTCAAAATCCAACTAAAACTAGGGAACTGAGTCTGGGAGATGGCTCACTGTTTAAAGCACTTGCCACAAAAGCATGGGGACCAAAAAGAGTCTGGATTCCCGGAACCCACATACAAGCAAGGCAGGGGGTGGCCCACATGTACATGCAGGAAAAGAGGAAACAGGAGATCTTCAGGGCAAGTTAGCCTGCCAGACTAGGCAAAACAGCCAGCTCTGCGTTCATGGAGAGACTCAATATGGAAGGAGGAAAGCAACTGAGGCAGACATCTGCTATCTCAACATGCACACACACCAACACACACATGTTGTGGAATATTCCTTTTCTCTGTGTGAAGATTTGTAATTGTGATTGGTTTAATAAAAAGCTAAACAGCCAATAGCTAGGCAGGATTTTGGGGGCAGAGAGAACTCTGAGAAGATGACAGAGTTGAAAGCCAGGCACAGAGGAAGTAGGAAAGTAGCATGGACAGTATAGAGTAAAAGTAATAAAGCCACAAGGCAGAAAGTAAATTAATAGAAACGGGTTAATTTAAGCTAGTTAGAAACAAACTTAAGCTATCATCTTAGCTTTCATAATTAATAAGGAGTCTCTGATTATTTGGGAGCTGGCTGGAGGTACAGAAAAATCTACCTTATACACACATATGTAAACCATATACATATTTAAAATCAAAATTAGCATATCAAGTCAAATTTTATAATCAAGACACTATCATTTTATTCCTTTCTCTCTTCAGATCTTGACCCTGTCATGCACTTTTTTCTTTCTCTTTTGGAGATCCTTCTGTCTCTGCCTCCAGAGTACTGGGATTATGAATGTGTACTAACTACCATGCCCAGCTCTACTACATTTATTTTTGTAATTAATATATAACTTATTTGTGAATGAGAGGCTGTGAATAAATGAACACTAGACAGCAGATACCCACTGGCATGTCTTATCAAACTTCAGACCTCAATGTCATCACCTTCTCAGACAGGTAGTTTTGTTTCGTTTTACTTTAAATTAATCATGTGTGAACTTCACTCTATAAATGAAGCACAATTGTTCATAATGTTTTAAATTTAAAATGCCATCCCTAAGAAAAACACAGAGAAGTTCCCTCTTATTTATGAGTTTCAGTTACCTATCATAGTCAATATCAATTTGAAATTATTAAAAGGAAAAGTTTTAAAAAGCAATTTGTAAGTTTCAGTATATTATTATAATTATCTCATTTTGTAAAAATCACCATTGCTAATTAAGTTTCATCGTAGGCTATTTGTCTACAGTGCTTGCTTGGGTTTCAGGTGCTGCTTGAGAACTTGGGACAGATCTCCAGGAGAATATATACCCTTCAGGACAAAAGTCTAGAAGATGAACCACACTCATGTGTCAAATTAGTTTGTTTCAAGCAAAAAGTCAAATTGTGCCTTAATTCCTTCCACCAAAAAATATAGTTAAATCCATTGGGGGATGGTAACACTTGCTATGTAAGTATAAGTCTCTTGTACTTACAGGACAGCTTCCTAGTTGGGCATTCTGGCCTGACTCATCTGTGAAGCACAGACAGCTGCTTCACCCCTCCACAACTTTACCACAACTTCACCACACACACACACACACACACACACACACACACACACACACACATGCATACACATTTGTGACTTGTGAGCACACAGGAACCCTCACACGATTTCAGATTTTATCCTATCACAGTTCTTTAATGCTCAGCTCATAACGTCTGTAATCCCCTCCAGGTGGAATTCCTACTCTAGCTCTTAAGGGCCTCTGCACTTTAGCTCTATCTTATTAATTAGATCTGATTTCATAATATTTACCAGTATACCACTGTGTATAATTCAATAGTCAGTGCAAAAACTAGACTCATCTTTGACACAACAAAGTAGCAAATGGCTACACTGTATTAAAAGTATGCTCTTAGAATGAGGACATTAGTTTGGAGTCACTAAAGACAGTTTTCATCTCAAATCTTCCTTCTGGAACACAGCTGAACCAGATGGTATTGCTGTGAGTGAGCATGACCTTCAGGCCCACACCCACAGACCTAGAGTCTTTCTCTCAGGTCCAGGTGCTGAGGAGGCGAGTAAAAAGACTCAGCTGAAATCATGTGGTCCCCTCACAGTCAGCACATAACCTTGCTGATGTAACTGCTCTAGAAAAGCTAAGTGTGTTCCAGATGGAAAATTACCTCCTGGCAGAAGAATCTGGTATGGAAATGTTTGTGCAAGTGTTTTGAGGAAGAAAAAGGTAGGACACTCAGAAAAAAGTCATCAAAATGGGGACGAATGGGGCTGAGGATTCAGTGGGAGAATGAATTGTTTGCCTACATGCATTGTGCAACCCTGATTCCACGTGGAGTACTTAAAGGGCCAGGAGGCACACATTTATGCTGAGCAAACAACTGGTTAAACCAACAGCACACAAGGGGAAAACAGCTAATATATAGGGAAACAAACGAAATACTACTTGAACCAACGTTAAGTATTATCTGAGCTATCTAGGTTCAGCATTACAGATAGCATTAGGAACTACACTTTGGTGTCACAGTGGGGGGAAGTTGGTAAGTGTCTCAAGCAGACATTCTTAACAAACAGTGTCAAAAAGTGACCTACCTGGCCTCTCATCACAGACATCTGACTTTCAAAAGCAGCTTTGTCAAATCCTTTGTCAGTCTGTTATGGAAATGGGGAGGAGGTGAGTTAATACAGTTCTAAACAACGACAGCTTTGAAACAAATCCCAAATTTTAAAACAAATCCTTCTATGTAGCAAACAAGACCATAAGAAAGCTTTCCAGCCTGTGGCCCCTTCTTAGAGCAGCCTGACTTACAGTTCCAACATTCATTGGAAACAATATGGGGCTGAGGATATAACTCAGTGGTCAAATGTGTGCATAACATGCAGAAGGCCCTCAGCTCAATCCTTAGCACCACAGAAATAAAAATGAAAGCAAAATTTTTTAAAAGATTTATTTATTTATCATGTATACAGTGCATGCCAGAAGAAGGCACTAGATCCCATTACAGATGGTTGTGAGCCACCATGTGGTTGCTGGGAATTGAACTCAGGACCTCTGGAAGAACAGTCAGTGCTCTTAACCCCTGAGCCATCTCTCCAGCCCGAAAGTAAAATTTAATATGGAAAATAATAACTATGCTTAGGAAGTCAAAACACCCTCCAAATTAAACCTTTTACCTTAAAGAGTTCATAAAGATCTTCACACAAATCTTGTACAAAGTTCATGTCAGAAATATAGGGTAGAATCAAGTTTCGGATTTCTTCAGAAAAAGGAACTTTAGCTTGAGGAAGCCAAGCCCAGTGAAACGGGTCTAGTAGAGAATAGATGTTAATGAGTAGAAATGACTTGTTCAGACTCACATTTATCCCAGTCTTCCCTACGATTCCCAGCTTCTCCCAGATAGGAAAAGAAAAAGAAATTCAAAGAATACAATCATCTCTGAGGGCCAATCAGGTTGACAAAGCACAGGAAGGTCTTATCTAAAGTTATTCTGTTTCTGAGCTTCACACAGTAAAGAGGCAGGTTTCAATAATGAGTCTAATTCAAACAGTCCTATCTTAAAAAGTTGTATCAGAACACATTACATTTGGGATTTAAAAAAATTGGTGGGAACTTGTAATTGTTCACACACGCAGATCAAGTACCATGGATCACAGTTCCTGTCTTCTGTAGTTACAAATGATCAGGAATCGAGGAACCTGCACATGGGGAAAGCTCTAAAACTTTAAATAATTAGGACGTAAGTGAATGGTTGCAAAGGATAAAAAAGTCTAGGACTAGGAAGTAGCTTAGCAATAGACTAGGAAGACTAGTAAATCGGTGGAATCTTCTAGGAAAGGAGGAGACATCACCAACTGGATAACTCTTCTTGTCCGAGGAATGGGAATGCCCCTCAAAAAGTCATGTTTGAACACCTGATAAGTGCAGGTGATGTTTGGGAAGTCATGGAACCTTCTGGCTTATGAAGCAGATGTAGGGCTACAGGAGTTAGGCTAGGGAATTATAGTTTGTGGTGTTTTGATGGGTTAAAATGTGAAGCACCTGCCTCATGCTTCTGTACTTCTCCCCCACAAAAATTTTTAACTATATGGCCTTTACCTAGCCTGTAACATGTTATACAGACCAGGCTAGCCTTGAAGCTGCTTGCTTCTGCCTGGAGTGTTGTGATTACAGGAACACCACACAGGGACTGGCCTGTATCATGTTCTTAATGTTTCTTCCACTACCCATTCCTATCATGGATGTACTGAATCCCCTTAACCTTGAGCCAGAATATATTTCTCCTCCCTTAGATTGTTTCAATTAGGCATCTGGTCAGAGCAATGAGGAAAGTCCACTGCCCTTAGATTCATCCCTGATTTCTATCCACCTCTTAACACAGTGTGAGACTTAAACTGTGAGTTTTACATGTATGGCCCACATTCCTTTAAGATGTTTCTTCTCTCCATTCTCTTAACAATTTCATTTAAAAAGCTCTTATTCTTTGTCTATTTCTGCTTCTAATCCCTGTCCTTCAACTTCTACTATCACAATCTACCATCGCCATCTCCATGCCCTGAGCCTGCCTAATGGCCTCTCACAGCCCACATGAGTCAGGCTACTTAACCAGCAAGGTGCTGTGTTTCATCTCTTTTCTGAAGTTCTTCCATTGCAACTTTGTGAATACCACTCTCTCAAAGTTTTCTTTCTGTCTTGGAAGGAAGGTACTCCCCATCTCTGCTGGCTTTTAATGTTACTGTTCCCCAAGACTCTATTAGTCCCGTTTTTCCTTCATTCATTAGGCACTCATCAAACTTTTATTGAGTATTTATATTCCTGGCATTGTGTTAGGCGATTGTGTTTGTTCTCCATGATTTCCCTGGATGACTGTAAATAAAGCCATAGCTTTGCTATAAATACAACAGCTAAAACATCCCTACACCCTTAATACCAATTCTTCTGTATGCTCCAGACCACTGATCCCCAACTGCATATTTGGCAAAACTTCCCAGATGTTTTATAGGAAGTTTACAAACTTACCACTTTAAAAAAAGCAATTTGCATATAGGTTTCAAATGGTTAGTGGGAAAAATAAAATGCAACCAAGGCATTTCAAATTAGTTCCACAAAACATGGGAAAAGAAAAAAGAAACAAATTAGAATTTATGATAAATTTTAAAAAAAGTAAGAAAAGTCCAAGTTTACCAACACTTTAAAGTATCCAATGAAAGACTCAGACTGGGTTAAAAGAAATCATCTGTTGTTTTGGTTCATACACCTAAAACAAAATGGTGGAAGTTAAAAAAAAAAAAATAGAAAAATTACCAAGTAAATGAAATCAGAATAGCAACATTAAAAAAAAAAAAAAAAAAAAAAGGGCAAAAAACCGAACAATAAAGTGTATTGCATTTCACACAAATGAACCCAGGAATATTAAACACTGGGCCTTTTGCATATGAAACACAAACCCAAATGATGGAAGAAGAAATTGATTAAAAAAAAATTAGTTCTGGGCTCTCAAAAGTTAACAGATTAAGTGGCTAAAGACAAGTGGAGGGCATTCTAGGACTGCTGTGAAATAAATCATTTTATACATTGTGAATATGTATTATTCTCATTGGTTAATAAAAGGCTGATAGCTTGGTAGCCAGATACGAAGTATAGATGGGACAGCCAGACACAGAGAGAATACTGGGATGAAGAGGGGTGGAGTCAGGAGAGACACCAGCTAGCCAGCTGCCCAGCAAACAGGATGTATAAAAAATTAGGTAACAAGCCATGAGCCACATGACAAAGCATAAATAGAAATGTGGGTTAATTTAAGTGTAAGAGTTAGCTAGTAACAAGCCAGAGCTATCAGCCAATCATTTATAATTCATATTCAGCCTCTGAATCAGTTATTTGAGACTTGGTGGTCAGGACAGGAAATGTCTGTTTACATAGGACTAATACTAACAAGTTTTAATGAACAAATATAGGAAACTTAGTGCCCAAACAGTCTTTCAAATATAATCCTTTAAACTGATCATGTTTATAATCACAAAGAAATTACTAAGTGAAAAAATATATAGGTCATATTTATATATCATAGTACAGTACACTGGAAAACAGTACTAACAGATACTTTGAAAGTACCTTTTTCAAAATCCACTGATTTAGAACTTTTTGTTTTGTTCTGTTTTGAAGATAGAGTTTTTCTGTGTAGCCTTGGTTGTACTGGAACTAGCTCTGTAGACCAGGCTGGCTCAAACTCAGAGATCTGCCTGCTTCTGCCTACCATGTGATGAGACTAAAAGTGTGTGCTACCACCTCCCAGCAAGAAATATTTTATATAGAAATCTTTAGATTAAAATATTTCTAAATGTCTACAGGCTACACAGAGAAAGTTTATCTCGGGGTGGGGGAGGAGGGGGAAGAGGAGGAGGAGGAAGAAGAGAATTTTAAATACAACAGAAATGTTCCAAACCAGCTCCAAATTCATCACTAACAATCATCTGTGGCAGGAAGTGTAACTGAAACACCATGGAAGTGGCATGGGAAGTCTGAATCTTGATAAAGGAATAGAGCCCAAAGCATCAACACACAGCTCTACCAAGGCATACATATGTTAATACCTTAGAAATCAGAAGTTACCCAACCCATTTCCAAGACTAAAGCCAAACAAGGTCACCCAAAAGTATATAAACAATATGTAGTAAGACCCAAGTCACTTGTACCTTCTAAGCTCCAGGGGCCAGAACAGAGCCCTAATGATTTATCACATTTTCTCCAGTTTTGTCTGCTATTTCCATCTGTCAAGTCTACCCTTTCCATCTAGGAGAACTCTAAATACTTACATGCTCTCCATTCATCAGGATGTTTAAAGGGAAATGCTAGCCCATTATCAATTGCAGCTATTTTAATGAGCAATTCCTTATCATCAATCCAGTTTGATTCCTAAAGAGGAGAAAAATGAACTATTAATAATAGATTCTACAAAAATATTTCCAAAGGATTAATTACTCACAATTATTATTGGGGCTTAAATGCATGCTCTGTTGAAAAGCTATAAAATTAAAATTAGGTTTCTAGAAAGTAAAACAAAATCATACAAGGAAGGAAGAGAATCTTTATAATAAGTAAACACTTCATAATTGCTATTTTTAAAAATTGGAATTATGTATTTACTTAAGTAAATGATTTAATTTTTTCCCACTCTGGAGAAGACAGTTTGAAAATACTAACTTTACAGTAAGAGTCTAGACAACCAGTTGCTTAATGTTTGATATTTGTCTAGTTACTTTCTTAAAAACATTATTTGATTTTATGTTTATGGGTATTTGCCTGCATGTATGACTCATGCACACGGAGACCAGGAGAGGGCAGCAGATCTCCTGGAACTGGAGTTAGAGGGTTGTGAGGTACCATGTGGGTGCCAGGATTGAGCCCATGTTCTCCGGAAAAGCAGTTGGTGATCTTAACCATTGAGCCATCTCCAGCCCCCATCACAGCTTCTTTTGCTTAGCATACCTTTAAGATCCACCCATGTTACTTTATGATTAAAGTTTGTTTTTTTGATATTGCTAAGTAATGTGCATACATAATTTTCAAATTTTCTGGATAAAATTCTATGGTACAAACGTTTCAAAGTGATACAACAGTTTAAGTGATAACTTGAAAAAATAAGAGATTAAATATTGAAGAAGCTTTCTTATACAATCTATAATGTATTTTTTTTAAACTTAAAAACTATCCCAAAAGTGTATCTTTTAGAAAGCTAAAATTTAAACTTGTGGTGGTTTGAATGAGAATGGTCCCCCATAGGCTCTATGCTTGAATACTTGGGTCTCCAGTTGATGGAACTGTTTGGGAAGGATTAGAAGGTGAAGCCTTGGAGGAGGTGTGTCACTGGGGGTGGATTTTGAGGTTTCAAAAGTCCATGTCATTCTCTGCTCACTCTGCCTTGTGCTTGTGGACCAAGATGTGGGCTTTCAGCTACTGCTCCAGCACAACGCCAGCAGCCTGCTGCCATGCTCCCCATCATAACAGTCAATGGATGCTAATCCCTGGGAAGCCTCTAATAAATGTTCTTTTTTTATAAGTTGCTTTGGTCATGGTACCCCTTCACAGCAACAGAAAAAGAACCGAGACAGGTAGCCAGTTAATAGCAATGAATTTGAAATATGTAACTCTGATAGTATGGAGCATCTATGTAGTATATTTTTATAAGTTTAAACCAGTAGAAGATTTTAAAAGTTCAGAGGATATGATTCACAAGTAAAACACATATCCATTTTATTATGTAATGCTGTATTACCTATCATTGAATTAAAATACTCAGAAGAAATGGAATTAGTAAATACAAACATATCCCTAAATATGAGAAACCTTAATTGCACAAAAGGAAGGTAAAAATGGTATCTCTACAAATGTTAAAAAGCTTTACGAAAGTTGAGTGGATGTCATACTTCGTCTCTAATACAAATAAGAAAGAGACAGGATGGAAAGAGGGAATAGAGGGGCTTTGCTCTAGAAGTATAGTCCAGAGCTGGGGATATGGCTCTGTTGGCAAAATGCTTGCAGTACAAGCCTGAGTTTCATACCCAGGACCCATGTGAAAAGTCAGGTATGACAATCATACCTATAATGTTAGTGCCAAGGGGGCAGAGAACTCAATAGCCAGTCAGCCTAGCTTACTTGGCAAGCTCCAAAGAAATATCATGTCTCAAAAACAAGGTGAAGAACAACTTCAAGAAATCTGTTATATAAACTAAATACATACTTTTACTTATTTATTAAGTTTTCCTTACCTGACTTTCAATTTTCTTTCCATATTTTGTCTTTTCATATTTGATTAGCCAATTATCATTTCCCCTGTCTTTCAAAAGAAAAGAAAGTCTGTTAGTTGATATTTACAGATATTGTAGCTTCGTACTAAGGGGAGACATCTAAGCCCTAAGTTTTGAGATGTTTGTTGGTTTTCTGTAGCACAGATTCACTATAGATGTGTTGGCTAGTCTTATGTCAATTTGACACACAAACTAAATGCCTCCATAAGATCTGACTGTAGGGCTGGGCAGTGGTGGTACATACCTTTAATCCTAGCATTTGGGAGGCAGAGAGGCAGAGAGGCAGAGAGGCAGAGAGGCAGAGAGGCAGAGAGGCAGAGAGGCAGAGAGGCAGAGAGGCAGAGAGGCAGAGAGGCAGAGAGGCAGAGAGGCAGAGAGGCAGAGGCAGGCAATCTCTGTGAGTTCAAGGTGAGCATGGTCTACAGAGTGAGTTCCAGGACAGCAAGGGCTATTATTACACAGAGAAACCCTGTCTTGAAAAACCAAACTAAATAAATAAAATCTGACTGTAGGACACTTTCTTAATTAGTGGTTGATGGGGAGGGCCCAGTCTGTTGTGGGTGGGGCCACCTCTGGGCTTCCTGGGTTCTATAAGAAAAATGACTGAACAAGCCATGGGGAGCAAGCCAGTATGGCCTCTGCATCAGCCATCTCCAGGTTCCTGCACTGTTTGAGTTCCTTCAGTGATGAATAGTAAATGAAAGTATAAGCCAAAAAAATTCTTTCCTCCTCAGCTTGCTTTTTGGTCATAGTGTTTGATCATCAGAGCAATAAAAATCTTAACTAAAACGGAGAAGTTCTGATTTATAACAACTTTAAAAAACCTGGTCAACATGAGCTGACATTTACTAAACTTTTCTCTGTGCCAGATTATTGTCCTAAGAGCTTCATCTATATGAACTGATTTCACCCCAGAACCACTCTGTAAGTTAAGGGCAATGGCTAGATCAAGGTTAATTAAAACCAAAGATAACGTATTTTTGCTTGAAGAAGAAAGCACATTTACCCTGGCTGCTATGCACAATCAAAGTTGCCTCACCCAGTTTCAACATTTGAGTACTCTGGACCAGTTTTAATATTAACCTAAGACCATTTAATTAAGAAAGTCAAATTGAGAAAATTATATGATGCTTTTTAGACGCCAATATAAGTAATGAAAAACAAACTTGAAAGCAGTAGTTCCCAAGCTACAGAATGCATGCGGATCACGAGGGGGGCTTGTGAAGCACAGGCCTAGCCCCAACTTGTAATTTCTGTAGAGTGTGGTATCTGAGAAGATACATGTTGGTTAGGTTCTCAGGAAATACTGACCTGAGGGTCTAGGGAACCACAGCTTTACCCCATCTACACCACTGTTCCCTCGTAGTGCAGCACAAACAGAAAGCTTAATGTTTCACAAACAACATAATGTAATATTAAAATAAGAACCTTTTCATATACACGGGCAGCATTTCTAGTTTCTGGCTTTGTCTTGCTTTTAGGCAATTCCACCTGAGAGGATAGGAAGAGTTCTCTGTGACCCAGTAGGAGTCAGGCCCTCAACATAGGACTACGTGCCCAGGAGGGTCAGTGCTTCCTCTGTTGTCCAATACTGAGGAGGACTCAGCGTTGGGACTCTTGAACCAACATTTATGGCTTTGATTTACAACTAAAGAGACTGAACAAATGAGAGAATGTCAATACCTGTGTTTCTGATGATGTAATCCAAAATCACTAATCTTTCAAACTGTGACTGAAATTGCTTTCTAATGTTTTCAGGCAGAGGCTCAGCTTCAAACCTCCTAAGCCAATACTCAGCCTCCTTGTAATTTTCCACAAACAGCTGAAAGGAACCAATCTATAATTTCAAGAACTATAGTTAGAAAAAAGGCATTACTTTTCAAATTTCTCAGCAGTACAGAAAGCTACACAAGCACATAAGAAAAATAGCATTTAACACACTAATCCAGATAAGACAGATCTAGATTATTAAGAGCATTTAACACACTAGCTTAAATAGTCACAAGAACACACAGCAACTAAAAAAGGCCCAACCCAAGACTTTTAGGGAGCTATTTTAGGAAACTGAAAAAGAGAATAAACATATGCCCTGAAGGTGATACCCTTAAGAGTGCTACTTCCTAAAAGGAGGCATTAAAGTGACTAACCGAGAGACCAAATGGTATACCATCTTGGTTATTTGGTTATTTCATGATATTGCAATTTTCTCGATGAAGCAGCATTTCCGTATTCTTTTCATAACATCGAGTATAAAAAATAAATTTTAAAATACAATGGACTCTTTAAGCAGATCAAAGATCATATCATAAATTTTAAAGATTTAATCAACTGATTGTAGCCTTTCTAATGGCTTTTTAAAGAGTCTTTCACTTAAAGATATGCCCATTTGAAAATCCATTTTTATTATTAAAATTGCTAGTTAATACTAAATAAGTTGATGTCAGAATACAAATTTCATCAGCAGATGACATACAGTAATGAGCAACCTATTCTGCCTCACAAATGCATGCAAACAAATCACCATAAAGAAGTCTCTTCCCTGGCTTAACATTTTATATGCTTGTCAGATATTTTAACAACTTCCTAAAGGTTTCCTTCGAGCAGCCTCTTTTGTCACACTTATTTTAGCATATCCAAGAAAATGGCAAAAATGTTCAAAACTGAGTACTTGGAATGTAATTAAATAGAAAAAAATAAGTTAATTGTGAATTTTTACTTAAATTATTTAGAAACTTAAATAGCAATAATAAAATTATAAACCAAATATATTTAAAAAAATAAGTCCTAGAGATTTTTCTAGAATGTCTTTTCCAATTAGTTTTCTGTATCCTTGCTTAGCTAGCTGCCAAAAGACCCTGAGGTTTATAATAAATAATAAAACTGGCTGGTAGTAAACACACAGAACTTCCATTTTTAGTGTCTTTACTATGTGCCAAGTGATGTGAATTTCTTCAGTTTATCCTTGCAACCTAAAAGGCAGTCATGGTGTTTTCATCTCATTTTATAAAAACTGGGACTGTTATCAGAAAGGCTGGAACCCAGCTCTAATTCTAGACCTGTGGCTTTTCTCAGTAACTTTACAAAGCTTTTCAAACCACATTTTGACTCCTCCTAATCCAGTAGCCCCACTCCAACCCACCCCACCTCCTAAAGGACTGGATCCAGGCCCTTGCATATGCATGCCTGGCAAGTGCTCTACCACTGAAAGAAAAAGGCATCCTTTTTCTATCCCCTCAGAGCTCCGTGGACTTAACACCTCCTAAACAGCTTTATCAAACTGCATTGAAACTGCTTATTACTATGAGCTCAAGAAAAAAAGGTATATTCTCCCCCCCACCCTCTCTCTCTCAAAATTATTTCCACAGTCCACAGCTGGATGCCCAGTGTCTGGCTACATTCATCATCCCAGGTGCTTAAGAAATAAATGAAAGTAAAACTTTATTAGAGTAACTTACCTTAGGAGGAAGTCCTATCCGATGGAACTTTCTACCTACTTTTGGCACTATCTCTAAGGCATACTTTTTGCCTCTTGATTTTGCACGGTCAATTGCACTGTAGTTAAATGTCTCACTGACAAGCCAAACCACCTAGAAAAATGGTTAGAGTTTGGATTATGGTATTTCTATTCACACAGACCATCAAATTCACTCTAACGCTGTAAATGAGTGAGGTCAACCCCTATAACAAAGCTCCCAGTGAATCTGAAATCTTCACAAAGGTCAGAGAATTTTAAATGACACATATTTCTTTCAAAAAAAATATAAAAACTTATTTCACTAAGTTTCCAGTGAAATAAGAGCCTTGAAATTTAGAACCAAGAATGAACATTTTAAAGAAGGCATTAAATAAAATTAGATAAAGGTCCAAAAGAAGCCAAGGTCAGTACTGTGGGCACATCAGTAATCTATTGTCAGCAGGATCAAAAGGGCCTCTAGAACTACCCAATTCTTTCCTGCTTTCTAAATACTAAGTCCTTTTCCCTTTCTGTCAGCATCCTGTGACCTCACAGAACAACAGACATTCCCTTGGCTACTGTACGGATCTATACCAGAGTGCATGAAACCAGCTCTCTGGGCTCCTGAATTATCACAAAAGGAATTCCACTTTAGGTTCTATCATTGGGAGTTATCCTTCGAGTGTCCACAAATAAGTAAATGCTAAGTACAGGTACAGGCTGAAAGCCAACTCTCCTTTACCTTTGTTTTAGGTACAATGCCCAACTGAAGCTTTGCATCTACCAAGTAGGCACCAGCTTCAGAAAGGTACCCCTGGTTAGGAAGCAGGCAGCCTCGGCCAAAGCAGCAGGGACAGCAAACCTTATGGACATACTTGGTCCACTTTGGGTTCAGCTGGCCGTAAGGCTCTTCTGATTTGGGTTTAAACACACCAATAATATTCTGTAGGGAAAAAAAGTAGAAATCCTATATGGACAGGCAAATAACAATCTACTAAATGCATTGCAATAAATAAGATTTACACATAACTTCCAAGTACTAAGGTGATTGATTCCAATCACATTGTAAGAATTATTTTCAATTTAAAATCAATATTCCTGTGTTATCAGTATTTTTCAAACTTTGCTCTAACAAACCTTAGGAAGTGAGGCAAGTCTTCATGCCTTGTAACCAGATTAATCATACCTGTTTGGAATTGCAGCACTTTCAGATTAACATTGGAGTCTGCCCCACCCACTGCAACACTACCCTTCCTTCTCTCTCTATGGCTAGGCTGTCCAGGCTGATTTCAAACTCACAAGCTTAAGAGTTTCTCCTGCCTCAGACTACACTTTATGTAAGCAATATTATGTATTACTTATGATCTACTAAATATTCAAATATACACTATCTTTTCCTGCTGTGCTAAATATTCTAAAAAGACAAGGAATCCATTAGAGTTTACCTCTAGTACTCAGAACAGTGCCTGACACATAGTAGGTGCTTAAGTAATTCTTTTTTGTTTGTTTGTTTTTGTTTTTTAAAACAGGGTTTCTTTGTGTAGCTTTGGAGCCTATCCTGGCACTTGCTCTGTAGACCAGACTGGCCTCAAACTCACAGAGATCTGCCTGTGTCTGCCTCCTGAGTGCAAGAATTAAAGGTATGCACCACCAGCGCCAAGCTCAAGTAATTCTTAAAAATACAAATAACTGAATGGCTATGCTATCAGCAGCTCTCACTTAAAAATTTTCCCATTATATTTTTCATGACCCATCTTAACTCTCTCCCAGCAAGAAAAATGTTGGCCATGGATGGTGGCACATACCCATAATCCCAGCAATTAACTGGGTTAGCTAAGGCAAGAGAATATTGAGTTCTGGGCTAACCTGAACCATGTAGTAAAGTCTTGTTGTAAGAGGGAAAGAAGAAAGAAGTTGGTAGAAAGCTTGCCTAGCATGCCTGAAGCCTTCGGTTCTACACCCAGAACCTCATAAAACCAAGAAATACACACCTGTAAGTCCAGCACTTATGAGGCAGGAAGAACAGGTGTTCGCCAGCCCAGGACATACAAGATCCTTTCTCCCAAATTCCTACTTCCCCATGAAAGAAATGTGGGTCTGACCATGGCACATATGCCCAGACCCAGGTTTTTTTTTTTTTTTTTTTAAACAAATAGAATTACGTTTTAAAAAATCACTTTTTTTTTTTTTTTATGAGATTTCTCTATGTAGCCCTGCCTGGTCCCAAACTCAAAGATCTGCCTAGCTCTGCCTCCCAAGAGCTGGGATTAAAGGCCACCACCACCCACAGAAAGCTCTTGGAAAAGACAGTACCATTCCTGAAAAACTCTGGACTGAATGGAAGAAAGTGAATATCAACTTGTCTTTTCCACTCCAGAATCAGAGTTCATTCTGCTTTGTTACACTCTGATGCCTCTTTTCAGAGGTATTAAACTATACCTTTAAAAAAATAAATCAAGCATAGGGAAATGACATTAGATAGGTTTTGAGAGTTTCAGCTTCCATTGTACTTGGTTAATATGGTAGCAGAGCTATAAAGGAGGGACTTTGAATATGCATTTAACAAATACACAAGTAAATATGGGTATAATAAATGCTTGAAACCAAACAGAAAATATCAGAACAGCAAACTACAACTGGAAAATATCAGCTGCATTTCTATATTATTGAGTACTTAGTAAAACAGAACAGAAACCACCGACCTTTATTTTGGAAAAGAGGGACCAAACAGATGTAATAAAATATTTTCAGGAATTCGGACATTTCACATTTAAAGTAGTATCTTCCAAAATGTGTGTAATACATGTGAAGTTCTCACCCTTTTAGAATCCTTCACAAAGTAACTTCCACTTGACCCTTGAGAGATTCTTTCTGGGAATATTCCAGTTTCTATTGCTTGTTCTGCTCTCAATATAATATCAGCAAATTCTGGATCTTCCAAGAAGGTATTTATCTCTGAAATAACAGCAATCACTGCATTAGACCAGCTGTGTGGATGCAGACACTATGGACCTGTGGGAGTGGCTTCAGGACAGTAAGGTACTGGAAAGGAAATCCAAAATCAGATAGTCAGCCTTGATCCTCATGTCTGACCTCTCTCTATCTCTCTCTCTCTCTCTCTCTCTCTCTCTCTCCCTCTCTCTCTCTCTCTCTCTCTCTCTGTGTGTGTGTGTGTGTGTGTGTGTGTGTGTGTTCCTGTAGGGAGTACATGTGTATGCATTCAGGTATACACACTTGGAGGTCAAAGCGTATTCCTCAAGACTGGTGCACATGCCCTCCTTTTAAAAATACTTAGTTGTAGCCAGGCGGAGGGTTCCTCTGAGTTTGAGGCCAGCCTGGGCTACAGATAAGAGTTCCAGGACAGTCAGTGCTGTTACACAGAGAAACACTGTCTTGAAAAACAAAAACAAAAACAAATTAATAATATTTAGGTCTTTTTTTTTTAATGTGTGTGGATATTTTGTCTGCACATATGTCTGTACCTGGTATCCTGGGAGGCTAGAAGAGGGTATTAGATCCTCTGGGACTAGAGTTACACACAGTTGTGAGCCACCACGAGGGTACTGGGAACTGAACTCAGGTTTTCGGGAAGGTCAGTCAGTGCTCCTAACAGGCAAGCCATCTCTCTAGCTCCCTCCCCTTAAATATTTATTTATTTATTTATTTATTTATTTATTTATTTGGTATGTATGCATGCTTTCATACATGGAAGCCAGAGGACAACTTCAGGAATCTTTTTTGTTTCCACCACATGGGTCTTGGGGATTGGACTCTGGTGGTCAGGTGTGGCATCAAGCACCCTCCCAGAGGACAACTTCAGGAATCTTTTTTGTTTCCACCACATGGGTCTTGGAGATTGGACTCTGGTGGTCAGGTGTGGCATCAATCAAACTTATACCCTGAACCACCTCCCCAGCACCAACTTTTTTGGGAGAATGGACTGGGTCTCTCATTGGGAACCAGGGCCTGCCCATTAACTGAGGCTGGCTAACCCGTGAGCCCCAGGGATCTGTTGTCTCTGTCTCCCCAGCTCTGGGATTACAAGTGCACTTTCACCAAGCTACCCCCTGATTCTCTACAGCCCTTCCTCCACCCTTCTTCAACAGATGATGTATACCCAGGTCTAGTTCATGCTCTCCTGTTCTCCTTTATCAACACTTGCCATTCCCAGCTTTAGCACCAAACTTCCATTACTGTACCCAACATCTTTTCTTGGCTGCTAAAAGACAAGCTCAAGGTTCACCATACTCAAAACTCAATTCCTTATCTCTACCACCTCTCCCAAACACAGCCACTCTGCCTATTCCATTCCAGGCGTTGCCAGTTCTCTATCTTCCAGTTGCTTGGGTCAAAAAGACCTTGGATTCATCAATGACCTCACACTTTCAATCTCCACATTTGACCTATAGTAAGCCATTAAGTATCCAAAACACAAACTCTTATTACCTCTACTCCTACAATGAAATCAGCCCTATCAACTCTTTCCTAAATTATATCAAACCAACTCACAATCACTCCTTTGTACTAAACAGCCCAAGGGTTTCCTATGTCACTCTAAGCAAAAGGTCAAGTCCTTATGGCCTCTATTTTCCCTAACCCAACTGCTAATCTCCACTTTATTTGGGCATTATCACCTGATTTGTTTGTGAGCTCTAAGCAGACAAGAGTTTCTTTCACTGTTGGGTCCCCAGAACGTGCAGTTTCCAGAACATAATAAGCACTCAATAATCACCTGCTGATGAATTAATAATGAATCATTTAGAAGGGGAAGACAAGCTGAAAGCCACTTCCATTTTAATTTGGAAGATACTTCAATTCTCTATGTACATTATTATGAAAATTCAAAACACAATCAACTTTCTTTAATTCAGGCAAATAAAACTGTTTTTCTAAAGTCTTTGCTGACAAAAATATTACAAAAAGGGCTATTTGGACATTACCTACTCAAAAGAATAAACAAAGTATTTTAAGCATGTCTATACAACCAAGGTGTTCATTCCAAACAATCCTTGTCTATCTCTTGAAAATCCTTAGGAATCAAGTGAAGAACTCTAACCCTGGCCACTTTGAATAGAACTCAGTATGTAGTGAGCATTTACATTTATTTGAATAATACAGGTACCAGTAACCATTATCATTAGTCAAATAACATTTCTTATAGGTTCCTTTAAAAGTATTTATTTTTACTTCCTGAGTGTTTGCCTGCATGTATATATGTGCAAAAGATGCATGCCTGGTGCTGGAGGGTGCAGAAGACAGTGCTGGATCTCCTTGACTAAGAACTGGAGTTTACATAGTTGTGAACAGCCATGTGGATGCTGGGAATTGTACCCAGCAGAACTCTTTCTCCAGCCCCAGTGGACCAGTTCTTAACAACATAACGATCTTGAAAAGTTACTTATTTGTTTTTAGTACTGGGGTGCCTTCCAAAATACATCACCAGCAAGTAATCTTGAGAGGGCGAGTAAACAAAACAATCTCAAAGAGATATCATTTCTTTTCCTGATGTTTTTATATGCATGAAAACAAACACAAACCTCTTTTTGCAGAAATGAAGTCTACTGTAGCTTTACTTTCTATCTGGACCTGCTAACTGAAGCAAACACCAAGTCTACTTACCCCTTTCTGTAATAGTTCTTCACACAGACAAGAATCACTTCACAATTCCCTAACTAAGCCTTTCCCTCTCCATTACCTTCCACATCAAAGTGTTCAGGCTTTCCATAGCCTAGTTTCCTGCCTGTTTCATGACTCATTTTTCTTTTGAGATTAAAAAAAATGTATTGTTGGGTGGTGGTGGCGCACACCTATAATCCTAGCACTTGGGAGGCAGAGACAGGAGGATCTCTGTGAGTTCGGCCACCCTGGTCTACAGAGGGAGCTCCAGGACAGGCTCCAATGCTACAGAGAGAAAACCAGTCTGAAAGAAAGGAAGGGAGGAAGGAAGGAAGGAAGGAGGGAAGGAAGGAAGGAAGGAAGGAAGGAAGGAAGGAAGGAAGGAAGACAAGTCGGTCCATATATGTGTGTGCACCAAGTACCTGGTACCTGCAGAGGCCTGCAGAGTACACTGGAGCCCCTACAACAGGAGTTACAGATGACAGAGAGTTTGACACTTATGTACTGGGAACCAAACCGATGTCCTTCGAAAGAGCAGTTTATGTTCTTAACCACTGAGGCATTACCCCAATCCCATACTTCAGTTTTCCATGATTATTCCATAAAACAGGGCTTCTAGAACTAACAAATCTATTGCAGAACAGAGACACTCTTCTTGACACCAACTTAAAAAAACGAGGCCTTCTAATACTGCATTAGTTACTCAGGATCCTGCCATACATTACTAATTTATATTAAAATGGTTCAACTTGTAGACTACTGTGATCTCTCCCATCCTCAATAGTTCCTTTGGATATAACATGTATACTGTTACTATTAAATGTTACTGAATTGACACATGGGTTACACTTTAGAGTTTATCATGGAACCTACAACCACTCTCTAAATATTTAGTAATTCGGCTTCAACCAAAATCAGATCAATCAAGAGAACATACAATAAGCCAGTATGTTCTCAGTCTCTTAATGAGACATTACCCTCTCCACTGAAAATGGTCATTCTCTTATTTGAAGATGGCCTGGATTTACAACACAATCTACAAAGGTACTTTAATGTAACTGGTCTTAATTACCATTAGAGAAAAGGCTACATCTCAACTATTTTCAAATCAAAGTGATTGGTTTTCAATAGCTAATTTTTCATCAGCTGTGTCCTTGGCAATTGCATCCTACACAACTCCCCACATTCTAGCAGTTTAAATACACACTGGTAATAGGTTTAACTTGAAGAACACCCACAGATATCACACTGCTCTGTGCCTAATATGCTATGGATGATTTGGTCAGAAAGCTTGTTGCTGGCATCTGGATTGAATTTCAGTAGTAAAAGACAATCTTTTGTGAAGGACTGAACTTAGACCCCCTTGAGTAGCACTGTTCTATTACATTATACTCCTGACCCTTGTAATTTTTTTAAATTAAAATTATGTTCATACTTTTAAGGGATAAACTGTTACTTTTATTTTTGTCCATGTCATAAAATTTTCAATTTTTTCTTCTTTAAAAACATTTTTAAATTAAGTGTATATGTGCATGGTGGGGAGTTATGTGTATGTGTGAGTGGAGGTGCTTTTGGAGTTCACAAGAGTTCACAAGAACCCTAGTGTTGTGAATTGCCCTACCTGGGTGCCAGGAACTGAACTTGGATCAGCTACAAGAGTAATAAGCCTTCTTAACCACCTGTCATTGCTTTAGTCCTCAAAATATATTTTCTAAGGAGAATCTCAGTTTTATCTTCGCAGCACCATTTGGGTCACATCTATGTAGTCAAGTTCCAGCCTTATTCAGGTTTCTGACTTTCAAAGATGTCCATGCAGCTTACGCTCTGAATTGTCTTTTCTGTTCCCGCAGAAAACCAAGCTTCCCTCCCACAACTCCTATTCACTGTTGGTTGTTTAAAACTGTAACAAAATAACTAAATTCTGGGAAAGCACTGACTTCTGGTGTATCACATGTGCCTAGAACAAAGACTAGCAAGTGGAAGGCCCTCAACAAATCTATCTAAAAAAGTTAACAAAGTATCCATTTGACCATACCAAAGGCTATTAAATAGGTGCTCTGGAAGGCACAGGTTCTAAAAAGCTGTGTAGCCTTTTATAGTTAGATGAAAATAAGCAGACATGGTATCTTAATATGGTTTCCTTTAAATAAACCAACAAAGAACTCATCTTACTCCTTTTTCCTACATCTTACCCATTAACTAGAATTCCTTCTAGAAAAAGTGCTAATGAGTTTGGTAATTAAACATACCTCAAGAGTTCCAAGTGATGCCACTACACTGGTCCTCTTATCTAAGACCATGTTCCATGCCTCCCAGGAACTCTCAGCTTTCCCTATCAGTTCACATACATAGTCCATCAAAGTCAGTGTTAAGTGACCACAGGCTACAAAGCTATGTGGGGATACACCAGTCAAATACAGACCACCATTTGGTATGGGTTACTATTGTTTTTTAAAGGCCTGCTTTCTACTAGTACCAGTAAATACTCAGATATTTGATGAATGTTCATTTCTGTAATAAATGGATATTAATGGCTACATATTTTGTTTTGTTTTGTAGGTAAGAGTCTTGCTGTATTAGGCGAAGATAGACTTGAACTCACCAAGCCCAGGCTGGCCTTAATCCAATGCTTGATTTTCCTTGCCTCAGCCTTCTACATGCTGTTATAGGAGTCAGCACACTCAACTTGTAATAGCTGTATTTTAAGCACCAACTGAGCAATAATCTTTAGTACCATACTTGCTTACTTTCAAATCTCAGTTATGGCTGGACTGTCAAGACACAGGAAATATGTATTCTTATAAAACTTGCCCTAAAATAGTTCATTATTAGCCTCTTGTTCCTTGATCAGACAATATCATTACCACCAGCTATTAAGGGTTCCTTCCATTGAAATAGGCGCCAGGAAGTTACATTTTGACTCTTGATTTACTTTTTAGATGTATTTATTTTACTTCATGTATGTAAATGTTTTGCTTGTGCATATGTATGTATATCATGTGCATACCTGGTACCCATGGTGGTCAGAAGGCTGCATTAGATGCCTAAGAACTGGAGTTACAAAAAGCTGTGAACAACCATGTAGATGCTGGGTCCTCTGCTAACTGCTGGGATGTCTCTCTACCCTGTGCTGCTAACTCTTGTATCTATTTTTTCTCCCCCTGCCCTTTCCTGGCTAGCCTGGTACTTACTATACAGCCCAGGATAGCCTTATGTCTTTTGCTTGACCTTTTGCTTCACCCACCTAAGTGTTGGGATCACAGTTATGTACCACCAAATCAAGCTTGCTTTCTTTTATTGGAATCCAAAGTAGTACTCATTTCATAGGGTTAGTTATGATCTATTATATGTGAAGTGCAGAAACTATGCCCAGCATGTACAACTGGTACACAGGTATTAAATACCATTTTTATTACAATCTGATTCACTGATTAGGATGACTGAACACTGACTAGTTTATGTGACATCTAGACTTTGCCGACTACATTGTTAATATAAAGATAATAGATGCATGACATTCTCCACTGACTCAAGTACATAAAGTTCCTGTCTATATAAACAAAATAGTTAAACACCACAGATGTCCACACTGATCTAAAAGCAAGAATATCTTGAAATTAAAGATGGTTCCAAGGCAACTGAATGATAGGTAGATAAAAAGACAAAGCAGTTAATGAACACTTTAAAAAATTAAATAAAAAACTAGTTAAATTATTCAATCATAAACCTTTTAGGAGTTTTGGACATTTTAAGTAGTTTTTTTATGGTCTAAAACTATTTTAAAATCCTATTAAAAAGAAAACCCACATAACACCCCAAAGTAGCAGTTCTTTCATAACACAGAGTTCTACAGCAAAATGAGTTCAGGACCTGGAAAAAAAAGAGGTAGGCTCAGTTTAGTTTTACCATTTCCTGGATATCTGACTTTGTGCAAACTACTTACTCTTGAAGTTCTAGGAGCCATCCAGTTATTACAGTTTTATTAATTTTCAACTCTCACAACAATGAAGAGGGTCAATGACAATTAAACTACTATACTGCTGTAAGAACTAATAAAATGTCAAAAACAAATTTAACAAATTGTAAACTGTGACAGAAATATCACTACTGAGAAGGTAAGAATTCTGATAATCCACTTGCATTCTGTCACATTCTTATCCTCTTTTGGCTTTTTCTAGCTTTGACTGTGTTTACCACAAACAGGAGAAAAAAACAGACGAAACCCTGTGAAACAATAAAAGTACTTTTAAAACCTTAAGCTCTATTTAAATATAACACACAAGGTAACTCTGGGGCAAGAAAAGTCAGATAGCAGCCACATGATCTCAGTTAACTCACAGACCGGATTCTATATCGTATATGGTCAATGTGTCCACTGAGGCTGCTTGAACTGGGGTTCACTTGTGAAGTGGGAAACTTCACATTCCTTTGCTCTTTCAGTGTTGTACTGCAAATCCACCCATCAGCTGACATCATGGTAATGGCAGATATGTTCTTAATTCATTTCAGACACCGTTTCCTTTAGGACTCTTATTAAATAATAAGAGTATTTGTGTTTGAATAAAATTTCAGTTAGAACTCTTGACTTGCTCTACCCAAAATCCTTTCAAGCAATATTTGCACATTAGTAGGTCAAGTAAAACTTAGCAACTTCTAGGAAAATAAGCAGTATTAATAAAAACTACCTTCCCTGTGGCTTTTCCATAAACGGTCACATGGAATGATGCTCTTCAACAGTGCATATACCACTTCTTTGGATCCATCCTAACACCAACAAGTAGGAGTTTCGTTTGTTTGTTTTTAGAAACAAGCCTGTCTACACTCCAGATGGATCTCAAATCTACCCCATCTCAGCCAAGTTAGCCAAACTACACTCCACCACCCCAAACTCACCACACAGATATCCAGGCCTGCAATAGCATGTCTAAAGTTTAGTTTAAACATCGCTTGTTAGCCTCTCTTTCATCCAGTCCACTTAAAATCAGCCCACATGATAATGAAAAGGTGTTTTCTTTTTAAACGCACAAATATAGACTTTGCAGAGCGGCGACAATATTTCACCAGCCTCTGCCCCCTCTGGCTAACGTCACAATAGCAACATTTAATAGAAAGTTTTAAAACTTGTCTCAGCAGCAACTGG